TCGTATTCGGCTGCGTTGTTGGAGTCTGTATATAGTATTTGGAGTACGTATTGCACTGTATCTCCGGTGGGAGGCGTCAGGACGACGCCAGCCCCCAGACCAGCCAACATTTTAGAGCCATCGAAGTGCATGATCCAATTGGAGTATGCGCCGTACTCTTTAGGGAGTTCGGCTTATGTCCATTCAGCTACGAAATCGGCCAGTACTTGCGACTTAGTGGATCGCCGTGGTTTATATGTTATATCGAACGGGGGGAGCTCGATAGCCCATTTGGCAATCCAGCCCGTGGCATCGCGGTTGTTTATTATGCCGTTGAGTGGTACTTCAGAGGCCACCGTAATTGAACACTCTTGAAAGTAGTGTCGTAATTTTCGGGATGCCATAAATACCGCGTATGCTATCTTTTGATAATGTGGGTACCGTGATTTGCATGGAGTGAGGACAGTGGACACATAATATACCGGCTTTTGAAGTGGAAATTTATGTCCGCCCATCTCTCGTTCGACGACGAGCACTGCGCTTACAACTTGGTGAGTTGCCGCTATATATAATAGCATTGGTTCACCAACATTTGGCGCGGCCAAGATTGGGTTGGTGGCCAGGATGGCTTTTATTTCTTCCAGTCCGGCTGTGGCTGCGTCCATCCACTCGAAATGTTCGGTGCGCCGAAGAAGGCGATAAAGGGGGAGTGCCCTTTCTCCTAGTCGGGAGATAAAGCGGCTTAAAGCCACCACACATCCAGTTAACTTCTGGATTTGCTTGAGGTCAGTTGGGATGGCCAACTGCGACAGAGCCCGGATTTTGGCCAGATTTGCTTCAATTCCTCTGCTGGAGACGATAAAGCCTAGGAGCTTTCCGGCGGGTACGCCGAAAACGCATTTTTCCGGATTGAGCTTAATGTCGTATGTTCGGAGATTCTTGAACGTGAGCCTCAAGTCGTCTATTAAGGAGTCGATGTGTCTGGTTTTAACGACCACATCGTCGACGTATGCGTAGGGGCTAGGATTTATCCTTCTTTGGCACCATCGCCAGGTTTGCTAGCCAGTCCGGATGCTTTATCTCTCTAATGAATCCGGCCTACAGTAATTTGGCTAGCTCCTCTCCCATGGCTTGTCGCTTAGGTTCAGAGAAACGCCGGAGAGTCTGCTTGACCGGCTTGAATCCTTTTAGAATGTTGAGGCTATGCTCGGCCAGCCTGCGTGGGATTCCTGGCATGTCTAAAGGATGCTAGGCGAATATGTCCCAATTCTCGCACAAGATCTCCTGTAGTGCGGCGTCTACGACGGGGTTTAGTTGTGCCCCAATGGATGTTTTTTTTGTGGGGTCCGTTGGATGGACTTGGAATTTGACTATTTCTGTCTATTTGCATTTTTTGAAGAGTCTCCTCATAAATGAGGTTTAATCCGCTGCCGTCGTCCATGAGTACTTTAGTGAGCCGAAAGTCGTCCACAATTGGACTGAGGACCAAAGCGGCTGCTACTCGAGCTGTTTGGAATTTAGGTTCGTCACTGGCATTGGAAGTGATAGCCGTGTCGCTCCATGGATTTATTGCTGCTACGTGGCAGACTTCGGCCAGGCTGCGGAGCGTTCGCTTACGCCTATTATTTGAGGCGAAGGTCTCGAAGACTGTCAATACTGTATTGTTATCCACGGGAAGGTGCTCTGGGGTGTTTTGGATGAGGAGATCCTCACCACTCTTGGCCACCTGCCAGAGTACCCAACATGCTCTAAGGCTATGTGTTGGTATGGTATCCGTTGTACTATGAATTTTGCAGGGCCCGTTAAGCCATCCCTCCAATACGGTTCCACGCCCTGTGGTGGGCTTTTGCTTCTTTATAATTGAGTCGGGCGACTTATGAGAGTGCACCCTTTTAGTTCGGACTGGGGGTTTTGTCAGAGCCGGATTATCCCAAAATTGTGTTTGGGTTTTCTAGGCGCTTTCCATCGCACAGTATTTCCGTACTATGGCCGCCAAGTCGGCGAAGTGTTCTATGTCACAGTGACTTATGGCGTTGAGGATTCCCTTGTCCGTGCAATTGTTGCAAAAGAACGAAATTGCGTCTTCCTCGTGACAGTCCTTGACCTTGTTCATCACAAGGAGGAATCTGGCCTAATAGTGATGTACTGTCTCTTGGGGCGCTTGCCTAATGTGGGAAAGATCATTTGTATCTGGGTGGGTGGGTGGATTTAAGTCCAGACCTTGACCCAATCTGTGATCCCGGGGCAGGGAAGTTTCCGGTCTTGGAAGTTCGGGCTCCGGGATGTTGCTCCGCGGGTTCGGTATGCGACCTGATTCTAGGTTTAGGGTTAGGGCGATGTCCTCCCGTGAGCGGGTATCCAGCTCGGAGAGCTCAGTAATCCGGACATAGTTCGTCCTCAGGATAGAGGGAGAACCGCCACATTGCTCCTCCACCACCGCTATTTGATGGGTGACCGGCGGAGTGTTAATCTCCCTTTAGTCGGGTTTAAGCCCGATCCGATCGTAGTCCGTAGCGACTCCCAGAGCGGCGATGCAATCCAAGAACTCGTTCAAAGAGGAGAGCTCCATTGGATCCATCTGCTCAGCGAATTTTGAGCTGATGTGGAGGCTATTTTCGATGACCCGAGAAGTCATCGTCGGCGCAGCGGCCGAGCGGGCGGTCATGACGAAGCCGCCTAGTCGGAAAGTTTGGCCTACATCCAGGGCTCCCCCAGAAGTGATGTTGTCCTTGACAACGAGACGAGCCATCCCCCCTTATGATGACGACATAGTGGAACTCTCAATGAAAGCACCAATGTCGGTGTCAAAACCGGCGGATCTCGGGTAGGGGGTCCCGAACTGTGTGTCTAAGGCGGATGGTAACAGGAGGCAGGGGACACGATGTTTACCCAGGTTCGGGCCCTCTTGATGGAGCTAATACCCTACGTCTTACTTGACTGTTCTTGATGATATGAGTATTACAAGAGTTGATCTACCACGAGATCGTAGAGGCTAAACCCTAGAAGCTAGCCTATGGTATGATTGTATGTTGTCCTACGGACTAAACCCTCCGGTTTATATAGACACCGGAGGGGGCTAGGGTTACACAGAGTCGGTTACAAGGGAGGAGATCTACATATCCGTATTGCCTAGCTTGCCTTCCACGCCAAGGAGAGTCCCATCGGACACGGGATGAAGTCTTCAATCTTGTATCTTCATAGTCCAACAGTCCGACCAAAGGATATAGTCCGGCTGTCCGGAGACCCCCTAATCCAGGACTCCCTCACTCCGTCCAAGTTAACACTCTGTATGCAGGAGAATATGTTAGAATTGAACGAGCCCAAACAGAAATGGAACTGCCTATTGGGTCGCTCGCGGGCGACTCCGGAGGCCACCACCGGTCCTAGAGGCCTTCTATACCACTACTCCCTCCCTCGTCGTAGTCGGAGGAGCCCGCCAGTCTAAGCCCTGCAATGGACGGCGGTGGCGAGGACGTGCACTGCCTTCTTTGGCGCCTCCAATCCATCCCTCATATCCATGGTCCTGGAGTCGCCATCTGCTCTTCGGTCGTGTGTTGACCCCTCGACGGTTGTCCGCACTCTTCGTCTCCAATGGGGAGGCCCCGTATGGATCCGGCATGGGTGCTACAGCAAGTCGGGCCATGGTGCCACGGACTGGTCTGCCTTACTTTAGATCAGGTCATGTCGGCCCCTTGGCCAACGGGTCTGGGCAAGGCTATCTCCACTGACATGGCAGTCGGTGGTAATGTGCTCTGTCATCAGTGTTGGTTCGTGTGATGGCCACTCCAGCCTGCAGCGGCAGCCTCGCCGCAGATTGTGGGGCTACCAAAAGGTCTTCGCAAGAATTTCCTCTCTCCGGATCCGATGGTTGCCTCGGCGATGGGAATCTAGGAACGACTACTTGACGCAAAGGGTATGGCTGTGCAGCAACGACGATCGATTTTCTAACTCAGCGCATGCAGCTGCTAGGAATGCGGAAAAGTGGTGGCGATAGCACATGATTGACTTCGATGGTGGTGCTTCTGTAGTACCCGGTTTCGAGCTTCGGGGTGAAAAACTAGGCCTGGCTCAAGTTGGTTATACCTGGCAATGCGATGCTCTTGTGTCGTCACCTTGATGAAGCCATTACTCGATATGTTCGGACCAGTTCTTCAGGGTGAAAACCTAGATTCTTTCCTTTGATGGTTGGATCTGGTGAAGACGACGCTTGAGCGTCGCTCCCTTGAGGTGTTGCTATTAAAGAAGTGTGTTGTCCTTATGGTGCCATGAGATGGTTGGTGTGGATATGATTGTTGTTGTAGTTTGTCGATTGCCGATTGCCGATTTGATCATTTTGGGTTTTTTTTCCTCGCTTAGGGATGTAAATGACGAATAGACAGCGGGCGCAAGTCTACTTAGTTTTCGCTAGCTCGATAGTTCATTTTCACCTAGAAAAAAAGTTTTTTGCACTATTAGACCATAAATGGACATTAAACATCATTAAACGGGCCGGTTTACATGCCTATCCTTGTTAACATGACTTTGCATTTGCAATGTTTTTTTTACGTGTATTCATATTAGCTCTATGCTTCCTAACTACGCAGAGGTTGGGTATATCCTTATTGTGTTTGTATTCACTTGATACTTCATATTGAGTCAAAAAAATCCGCTTTGTCCAAAAAGCCAACACTCTGTATAGGGTTTTTTTAGCATATATACGGGGTTTTTTCGAGAGGAACACGTTTTTTTTAGCAAACTCGAGAGGAATACGTGTGTATAGCTTGCCTTTTCTTTGGTGGGCTCTGTGAGAGCACGTAAACAACAACAGTACGAACCCACCCTAGAAAAAAGCCCATACACTTGGACCTTCTCCCCTTCCCATTTCCACCCGGTGATCTCGCCGCCGGGACGCACCACCGCCGGCGCTGACCTGCCGTGCCCAACATCCGCCTGCTCGAAGTGCCTCCTGTTTTTTTCTTTTATTTGGAGCGTCTCCTCCGTGCTCAGCGGGCTACCGCCCTGCAGCAGATCCCGCGGCCCCGATGCCTCCTCCCGCCGCCCCGACGCCTCCTCCCGCCGAGCCGCTGCCAAATTCGCCAGATTCTACCTCCCCCACGGTTCGCGACCTGTCCCCTGCTGCTTATGGTTTAGAGCTATGTCCTTGTTTATTTTTCTGACGTGTTTTTGGTGCGGATGACCCAGGAGGAGGCTGAGGCGGATGCGGGAGGCACGCCGTCGAGGGCCGGGCCGGTGGGGACAGTAAGCTGGGGAACCGGGACCATCGTCGGCGTATTCACCGGGCTTCTCTACGGCGGGGCCAAGGAGGCCAACGCCAACGTCGTAAGTTGCCGCCCCACTCCATTATAACATCCTCCTTTCTGTTACTGCCTCGTATGTAACATTTGTGGATGTAAAAATGGAGCTGATTAGTGATAATAATGAGAACACATATACAGGAACTAGAGTTCTAGTAGAATTTTTTAAAATTACAAAATATAGACTGCCCCGACTTGTTTGGGTTTCAGCTCTAGCCTATCCCAACTTGTTTGGGACTAAAGGCTTTGTTGTTGTTGTTGTTGTTGTTGTTGTTGTACAAAATACGGACTGCCTTCTGCGCCAGTATTGAATCAGAACACATCTATAGGAAATTACTCCTCTCCTACTTAGGATTTGGTATCCCAAAATTTTGATTAGATGCTTACCCCTTTCTTTCTTTCCTTTTGTTGAGGATGATATTTCACTCCTTTCCCTCTAAATATTACTCCCTCTGTCTCACAATATAAGACGTTTTTGCAAGCTAACACAGCTTGCAAAAACGTCTTATATTATTATGAGACGGAGGGAGTAGCATTCTTTAGGCCAAAAGAATGACTTCTGTGAAAACTACATTCATATCCTATTTTACAGAGCAAAGATGCTGAAGTGATGTTGAAAATGGGAAGCACCACTGACAAGCGCGAACAGTATAGGTTGATGAGAGATGCCATGGAGAAAAGGTTCATCCGGGTTGCCAAAGGCTCACTAGTTGGTGGTGCTCGCCTTGGGATGTTCACTGCAACTTTCTTTGGCATACAGAACCTTCTTATTGAGAACCGTGGGGTACATGATGTATTCAATATTGCTGGAGCTGGCTCGGCTACCGCAGCTGCTTTTGGGCTTATATGTATGTATTTCACCATATTAAATCTTGGGTTTTAGTTGCACTTGGTTAAAACATCGCATTGGTCACCAAAAAACATTTACCTATTATGATAGTTTATAACTTGAAAAGCTTATGAAATATGTTTGCTACAGTATGAATTACATACAGAAGAGTATACTACAAAAGTGATTAAAGTAGAATATTAAGCAGCACCGCATTCATTGTTAGAAGTTAACCAGATATACCCTCAGTGTGCTATGGCTAATCCTGGTTTGTAACTAGTATTCTATGTTTAATACTTTGTTGTGGGCCATGATGAAATTGTCAGTTATCACAGGCTATTTAGTTAACTGTAAAGTTGGCTGCCTCTAGGGGCCTTCTATGGCTATGTAGCCCCTAACATTTGATGATTGCAGTATCGGATATATGGTTTGATGGAATTGGCCTGCCAAGATGCATCTAATAGGAGTTTTACATCAATCAAGATACTTGATTTTTTTCAATTACTTAGTGGAGGAAGAATTCATATAACAATGTTTGCCTAAATATCTTGATGATTCTTGATATCTATTATCAGCATATATCTTCAGAAACCTGTAAATAATATTATCTTTTGTATTTACTATTGATAACTGATATCGCTCACGCTCAGTATACTGGATTCATCTCAACTGATGTCTATACCTTCAGTGCCTGGTTCACCGATGTGGCGTGCAAGGAATGTATTGGTCGGATCTGCTCTTGGTGCCGGAATTTGCTTTCCCCTTGGTATTCTCACCTCTGTATACTTTTACTGGTTATCATACTAGCTTTCTCGAATGTACAGATCATTCTTTTTGTTTTTATGGACCTTTGTGTGTGGGCTTTTGAGTTATGGACCTTTGTTTGTGGGCTGTTTAGTTGTGGACCTTTGTCTGTGGGCTGTTAGTTATGGACCTGATGATGCAACTATTAATAGATATCTAATATCCTCTGTGGTAGTATAGAATTTAGTGCAAAGTAAATGAATTGTTTAGCATCTTCGTGAAATGCTTTCTTCCATCTGATTGTAGCCGTGTTTCATTCTTATAAGAATGTTTGAACTTGTCTCATTATGGATAGCCTATAATTTCACCTTTTCACATCTTCAGCTTACCTTGAAATGTGGAAGTTTGATGCTACCTTCTCGTCATGTACTTCTTTGTGCCCAAATCCCAGTCGCCTAGGTTCCTTGTTCATGTGGGGGTATGCGTTAACAAGTGTTATTATTATTAGGAAGCACATGCACATAATCCATTTATATACAACCATCTTGACATAATCATCCGCATTACCAAGTTAGCAGCGTCATGTCATTCTTATACAATGGTTATTATACACCATGTGAACTAGTTAAGTCTGCTGGTAACTTGTTGTGGTTATATGCTCAAGAATCTCACCTTGGAAATTCTTCTACAGGTTGGGTACAGTTGAAGTTGGCAGAGAAGGCCAATCTTGAGATTGAAAATTCAAAATCGCCGTCAGATTTACAAGGCAATCAAAGTCGTGTGGGGGCCGCGATAGACAGACTAGAGAACAGCCTGAGGAAGTAACAGTTTGTACCCATGAGAGGAGCCAAGGATCTGTTGTCAACACCCACAGCTATTTCGCTTTTGTTTTGTTCATGTACTTTTCATAGGAATGTGGTTACTTTTTGAAGTGGTAATGGCAGCAAGGGAAACTCTCTTGTATGAAGATAAATTTGGATACAAACACTCTTACTTGCTGGAGCTGGGATATTTCTAGTTAAGGTACCTGTTTGGGTGTTTGTGCCATTATGACCTCTATATGATCAGCATTGGGGATAGTATTCATGACTTCTCGTCAGCTTGACAATACCTCGGAAGGATGGTGCCATCTCTTATTTTCTTGGAAAGTTTGTATCGGTGATCCATCACAAACTATGTTCGTTTGGTTTGATGCCCATGTATGCTAAATTTTGCCTTGGCATAATTTTGTCACCAATTTTCTTGCACATGAATTGTCCTGTAAAGCTGGGGGAGATAAAACAGTCGCTAAAATTTGGACAAATCAGTCAGCCTTCATGGGCATCGGACATAGCCCACGTCAAAACCTTAGCAGATATAGGGAATATATGGTTAGGCTTAACTTTGGCTCAGCCAAAAGATCAAAAAACAGGTGTGCTTTTTGTCTTTAAGCCAAACTTCAAAAGGCAAAGTAAGCCGAACCAAACACCCCCTTACACAAGACACACCGTTATGCCGCATGAACACGACAGATCAACCGGTGTTTCATCCGACACACCGCAGGGTCAAGGACTGAAGTGCAGCCCCATTCCCAAAAAGGACTGCAGTGCATATGAAATTTAAGAGCAACTGAGTTTGAAACTCGCAGTATTTCCACAGGAACATTCTCTAATGGTCAGACAAGACATTTTACCATGGATCTGGATATGATAAGCCAATTCTCATCTTGATATTTGTTTCACAATCCACATATCCCGGTATCAGTTGGCATATACTCAAACATGTAAAAGGAAATTACATAACTGATACTGGATAACCAACTCCGAGACACTAAAGAACCAAAATCTGAAGTTCCAAGTTTCAGCCATTACAACACCAGTTTCGATACCAATAAGGCTGCAACTTAATGCCCAAAAAAGTACCATAATTTAACTAACATCGTTGTAGAAGCTAGGCTCCAATCGACGTGGACTTCTGTCGGCCATCTGGAATGGCAAAAAGCATAATTGGTTTGGACGACCGGATAAATGGAACATCACACCTGTAATAGCCTTTCCTTTCGAGCTGTATAACTTCTCCTTTCTTCACGTTCCGCATGTTCGGGTCTCCAAGAGCTAAAGCTTCTCGCCGAGTGCAAGGGTTGAGATTGTCAAGGAAGTCCTCATCTTCTTCCAGCTGCAAAATGTGCTAGATATTAGGATCTAAAGTACATGAAGATACCACTCAATGATGGAATGAGACATGGACACAATGATGGAAGAGACAACTCATCCAAGAAACATCATGACATACATATAAAAAGAAGAAAACTAAATATCATCAACATCAGATTTCAACACTAGTAGGACAGAATATGGATAGGTTGCCATGTTGAGTTCCCAAGGACCAACCAATTCATCAAAAGTCTCAAGCTGTTGACTGTTGAGGTAATATAAGTTGGCCAAACCACGCATAGTTAAAAACACAATAACTGTGCTACTTTAGTACTATCTAACCAGTCCAAGTGAAAAAGCCTAACTAGTCTAAGTGAAAAAGCATGCATACTACTACAACGATAACACAAAACGCGCGTGGTTGAAAACATAGTAACTGTGCCACAGAAGTACCTAACTAGTCTAAGTGAAAAAGCATGCATACTACTAGAACGATAGCACATGTAGTATAAGAATATGGTTCTGGTAACCAAGTGGTTGCATGCCTACCAACATGAACTTAGAACATGAGTTTTTACCTTCTTCTTATTAATTAGGTAGTCAAAATCTACCAAAGAGAGAGACACAAGATCTTCAATATCTGATAGCCATGTTAGTTTCAGCTTTGTCATCTTCACTGACCCTTCAAGATGGAGTTCACCAACTAGTTGAGTAACTGTTCCATTATCTGTCTTGATTTCTCTAATGATAGCATTTCCCCAGTCCATCAAAGTAACTTCCTCGCCCACGCTAACGACTGATGCATCAGCATACTCTAGCCAAATTCTGTTTGCAAACGTCGTAGCCTTCTTTCCAGCACCCTCGTGTTTCTTGTGCCTTGGTAAGATTCGAACAAATGGTTCCTCTGGACCATTAGTAAGGGTAAAAAGCACGCGTTTGTCTTTCAGCACAGCAGTATGCCTTCCACACACAGGATCAACTATCTTCTTGTTGATTGTCCAGAGTTTATCCCACTCCATAAGATTGAGATTTTTTGAAGCACCCTTCACAAATAGGAAGTACAGAAAAAAAGAAAAAGGGAGTTAATAACTCGGTTACTCAGATATACATATAGTTGCAAGATCATGAAGAACAACTTGTTAGAAAATTACCTGCTCCAGTATAAATTGGATCAATGCTTCAATCTTCAAGCCACGGCGTACAATGCCTTGTACAGTGGGAAAGCGTGCGTCAGTCCAGTCCTCCACCATATTGTTTTGGACGAACCACAGAAGCTTGCGCTTGCTAAGAACGGTATAAACCATATTCAGCCTGCTGAACTCGTAGATTTCTACCCTCCGCAGGCCCATGTCTTGAAGGATACGATAGTACTGTGCATTCCGATCATGGTATTCGCTTGAACGAAGAGCATGAGTCACACCTTCTAGTGCATCAACAAATGGGCAAGCGAAGTCATAAGTTGGATAGACCTTGTATTTTGAGCCAACGCGATGATGGGGATCAGGGTTGCAACGGTAGTAAACAGGATCTCGAAGTGATTTGTTTGGGTCCTGCATGTCAAGTTTACCGCGTACACAGCACTCGGTACCCCTTTTGGTGCCATTAACCATCTCTTTCCACAGCGACAAGTTCTCCTCAACAGTACTGTTTCTACGCTTAGATTCCACACCATCCATCCTTTCACTCCTCATTTGCTCCTTGGGTGTATCATCAACATATGCCTTTCCCTGCTTAATCAAACTTTCAGCCATTTCCATTAGCTTTGGAAAATGATCTGATGTGTATGTAACTACATCGTATTTAACCCCAAGTGTCTCAATATCTTTCACGACATTCTCAACAAATTCATTGCTTTCTTTAGAAGGATTTGTGTCATCAAATCGAACTATTAAACGCCCTTTATATCTTTCTGCAAAATACTTGTTCAACAGTGCAGCCTTTGCATGACCAATGTGGAGATACCCACTAGGCTCTGGGGCAAAACGAACGCAAACCTCCCCAACTTTGGCACCTGGGAGATCTATTTCATGACCTGACGTGTTCTCCTTCAAACCAGGCACCTTCTCTTTCAAGCTTGGCGCAGGAGATTTGCCAATTCCACGCTTTCCAATATAAGCTGATGTAACTTCATCTAGCGCGTCTGCATAGTCTGCAGCTACGCTGTTGAACCAGCGGACAAGGCTCTGATATTTCTTTGACCTCCTTAGACTTTCCCATCGTTGACCAGTTCCTGAGGAAAAGAGTTGTTACTTCCAAGGCAAAACATAGAGAGAGAGAGAGAGAGAGAGACAGAGAGAGACCAATAAATTACTCAACAATGAAAGAAAGAAAATTACCTGTGAGATTTGACCACACAACAATGTCAGCAATTGATAGACCATAACCAACCAAAAAGGTTCGAGATGCCAAGTATCCATCAAGAAATGAGCAAGCAGCTTCAAATTCAGAGCCTGACAGAATGAGTGGTGCATACTCGAGCCATTGGTCAACCTACAGATGTGAAAACAATAGCAACTCAGGAAATAGTGAGATGATCTTGAAAATCAATTACAAACACCATAAAAGCAGAACATACATGTGCTGCCTGAATATCGTCTTGGCCATAGAAGCTGGAAAGAGATGCAGCACGTGCAATGTACCGGAGAATTGTGTTGACACCATGTATAAAATCACTGTACAGAATCATGATAGATTCATTGAGACACTACAAAGTACCAAACAAAAATACTGCGATATTTCACCATTAAAACTGTTTTGATTGACACATCATGTTCTAACAGTCATCAGTTCCATCACAATAATTTCCTTGAACCAAGAATATTAAGACGAGGAGATTAAAATAAGAGCTAATCTTGAGTCGACTACAGAAACTATTCAAACATTCATCATGGTAGTAAAGTGTCCACAGTAATTGTAACATAAGGAATGTAAGCAGTTAATCAGAGAGAGACGGAGAGAATTATACTTGAACATTGAACACTTACCCAGAACTGAAGTGTAGTGTGGGCACTGAACCTGAGGCAAGGGTTGGATCAATGATTAGGGGAACACCTGCAATCTTAGCAGCCGAAATGATGGAAAGTGGTGGGCTGTCCTGGGGGAAAGCTAGTTTGAGCTCCATTCAGTCCCTTGCAAGCCAAAGAGCGGAAACCTGCCAATGGCAGATAAATGTTGGGGATCAATGAATAAGTCATGATTCGCACACATGTTTATCTTTTGATTTTCACAAGCAGAAAAGATGCATTAACCCCATGAGTTAGCAAAGATGCAAAAGTGAAACTTGATCGTTGGAACGTTAGTTAGGTCAAGCAGATTTCAGAAGACCCATACATGGTAAAATGAACCGAATTAGCAGTTACAGCGATTAAACCTTTCGACTATAAATTGCTTTAAACAAATTGCAAGCCTTTGACTGACAATGACCACACTTCAGGCCGTGACGCAACTCTCACGGATCATCGCATGAGCAACAGTCGTTACTAATTTCTATAGAGATAAAAACAAGAAGAAAACGCACTTTGCGGCAAGCAGACTGTCCCGAGTTCTTAAGAGATAAAGTTTCTCTTAGACTTATATTTTGAGATGACACGGCATCAGATCAAGGTCTGAGACCGAAGCTGGGGCATGGAGAAGGGGCGGATCTAGATGGCGTGCCGGGTGTACACCGGTTTGGGTTTAAGCAATTATTGGGTG